AAATATCATCACCCTGAGCATTTTGGTTATTCAGAAGAAGTTGTTTAAAGGTTTTTTAATACAATTGACCCCTGTGACCTTGAATATAATTGAAGGTCATTCATTTGAACAAACTTGGTAGCCCTTCACCCAAGCATGCTACTGGCCAAATATCATCTCCCTGGGCATTTTGGTTATTGAGAAGAAGATGTTTAAAGTTTTTGACATATTTGACCCCTGTGACCTTGAAAATAGGTGAAGGTCATTTATTTGAACAAACTTTGTAGCCCTTCATACAAGTTTGCTTCTGGCCAAATATTGACACCCTAGGCCTTTCGGTTATTAAGAAGAGTTGTTTAAAGTAAAATATTGACGCCGGACGACGGACGGACGGACGACGGACGCCGCGCCACGGCATAAGCTCACTTGGCACTTCGTGCCAGGTGAGCTAAAAAACCAGTAAGTTCTATTTTGACTGCAATAACATCAATGTCAAGTCCTTAGGGAACCTCCATACCAAATATCACCTTCTGGTACAAATACTTTATTCATAGCCAATTATATAGATATATTCAGATATCTAATTGTCTCTTGAGTAGTTAAATATTTCTTCTTATGAATAAACAAAATTGTCACTGTAAGACCTTCACTGTTTATTTTTGAAACGTTTTCAAATATAGCATTGGTTCACAGGACCTGAGAATTAGTAACAGCTATATTTGGACCTAAGCTGAGGTGTAAAGAGTAATTTTACACGTTTTAGGGGTTTAGATCAATTTTCAGTAAAAATGCCACCATTGGGGAGGTCCCTTTGCATTGGTTTAGTACTGGGGTTACATTTGGGAGGTCCCTGTTCATTGGTTTAGTACTGGGGCTACATTGGGGTGGTCCCTGTGCATTGGTTTAGTACTGGGGTTACATTGGGGAGGTCCCTTTGCATTGGTTTAGTACAGGGGTTACATTGGGGAGGTCCCTGTGCATTGGTTTAGTACTGGGGTTACATTGGGGCGGTCCCTGTGCATTGGTTTAGTACTGGGGCTACATTGAGGAGGTCCCTGTGCATTGGTTTAGTACTGGGGTTACATTGAGGAGGTCCCTGTGCATTGGTTTAGTACTGGAGTTACATTGGGGAGGTCCCTGTACATTGGTTTAGTACTGGGGTTACATTGGGGAGGTCCCTGTGCATTGGTTTAGTACTGGGGTTACATTCGACATAGCACGCTTGGGGATTTCTGCCTAATCTCTGAAGGGTTGGCACAGCGTGTGGTATAGTGTGAAGTCAAGACCTTCACTGTAATGCTATGGCACTTAAACAGATTTTCTGTACCCAGTAGTAAGCAAATTTATTCCATGCCAAAGTCAAATATGAATAACTTTTTAGTTTATTTAAAATTTCTTACTTTTATGAATCATGTTGATATCTAGCAATATTTACATTTGCTCTACAGCCTTCCATCGTAATGCATTGCAAAAGCAAATGTTGTTATGAGACTTTAACAACATTTGCTATTGTAACGTCATCAATCTCTATTGTGATGTCATCAATGTCATTGTCATGAATTGCTGTTCAAAAGCTGTGCAAAATAAATGAATAAAGCATAACTACTCTATGAAAATGTAAATATAAATAATGAATATATTAGCAAATATTGTTATGTCCTGTAACACACATTTCTATTGCTGACAAACTTACATAAAGCCCTGCTATAACAACATGTTTAAACATTCATTGCTTAATAGTTATCCCTCTTCCGATTGGAGATTTGCCTCCTCTATGATCATATTCTTATTTTCCTCTGTCTTAGTTCTGTCTACATGATAAATTTGTTGAGCTTTTACATTATCTTTTACTCATATCATTTTCACAATTCTGATATACAGCTCAACCCCTGTTTTCAGAACTAATTCTATGACAAACCATTTTCATCGTGTATGAATGCATCTGCCTATATTTACCACTTTGAAGACATAATTCTTGTTAATCCCAATCGACCTAATCAAACATTCCTGTTTCTGGTTGATTCTAAGATAATTACAATACAGGCACAAGATTGGAAAAAACTGTAGAGACAGACACTTGTAGACTATAGAGATACTCCGATTTATCAATGATAGGTTAGAGTTATTTTAGTGTAATTGAAAATATCAAACATGATACAAAAAAACAAAATCATCTTATAACATTTAGATATTTGTTCAGGTAGATCAGATTGATAATTTGAGAATCGAATTACCTCAGATAAACCCTTTTTTCAGTGGCAACAATTTTTATTTTTTTCACCAACAACAAGTTAAAGTTAACCATCCTGTGAGCATCCGAGGTTACTGTTATCGCAAAATCTGGAGACAATTTTCATGCAACCTTGAAATGTAAAAAGCCACCATTTTGACTCCATTGTGTAAGGCTGTGATGTCATGTTCTTGTCCTAGACGTGACTTCACAATTGAAACAATTGAAACTTACAACAAATCACAGGGCTGATAGGTCATATTACATGGGTTAATATGCATATAATAAGACATTGGTATATTCACTAGATAATGCAGTACATTATGGGATAAATGGAATTCTGTTATAACTTAAACTTTAAGGCATACCCCAAGTTCATTGCCCTAGATTCTTTGTGTGAAAAAAATATAAATTATGTAACCGCTGGATAAAGAAAGATGGAAGGGAATGAACATTTTGGATTTTTCTTCTTCAATATTTAGCATTTTATTGATCTAAATATGTATACAAAAATAGCACATGAGAATGTCTTATTTCAAATCGATTTGTATTGCACTCCACCTCACAGTAAATGCTGCCCCTACTTCACTGCTTTTCTTTCCTTTCAATCTAGTTGTTCCTATTACATGTATTAACATGCAGCTATAGTGCCACATTGAGGTATTTATACCATCAATGCTTAGAGTTTTCTCCTCTCTGATTTGAAGCTAGACCACTCTTTTCTCTTTTACTGGTGATCCCAAAGTCATCTGAAATAATGAAAACAAGAACTTTAACATTGGAGAACCCAACAAGGTCATGTAAACAGTAATATTTTTGCCCTGCCAAATGTTTCACCTCTGACCTACTCTCAAGATTTTTATGTGATAAAACTGTCATCCTGGCCTAGGGCAGAAAATAATGGAAGTTAAATTTTCGATTTTAAGAAGTTTCAGACATGCTTTATAAGGCTAATATGGAAAGTTATCAACTTATTCATATATCATTTCTGTATTTACCTGTAGAGTTGTTAACAAGGGTGAATCACACTGGTAGTGGGACCCCGTGCAGCAGACAATTTCACAGCCATCAAAAAGATACCCCCTTCCTCTCTGGTTCATTATAGCTAGCACTGATACCCAGTACAGATGTCAGCTGTAAATGTATTGTATAAATGTCGCATTTTCTTCATAAAATATATTGAACATTAACATTAAACTGGAAATATTGAAAAATTGTCAAATCATGAGGCATCAACATAGTTTTAATAAACATATAATCTTATAAAGACTGTATATTATATAGTGATAATAAAAATCATGTGACAATCAACTAAAAAACATAGATATATGTAGACTAGATATGAATGAAAAAATATGACGGCAATCACAAATACTTTATTACATACACTTGTACGGTTTGTTCATACATGTATGTACCTGTTTAAATTTTGACCTTATCTGCTGTACCAGTTCGAATAGCTGTGGATGGGTAGGGTTTGTCAGAGGGAAGTCATCTACCAACTTCAGCAAGGATTGGGCAGCTTTAATGGCTCTTCAAGCAAAACATGACAGTAGATTTTTTATCAATAGACAAACATAATAAATATTTTATACATTATGTAAAAATTATCTCATAAAAATCTCCATTATCTGGTATTTTGTCCAGTATTCATGTTGATACCATCCCCATTTCAAAATGAAGCAAAGAAAATTGATGGAAACCTAGAATATTTGAAAGAAATGTTTCATGTTTCTAAACAGGGAATCATTATTATTGCATATTTGGGAGATGTGATCAAGCTTTAAAGCAGGCTAGAGTTTCCAGTGGTGACACAGGTATTATATTAACTGCCACATACTTGGTTTTGTATGCAGTTTAGCATATAAGACTAACCTTTGTTTGCCTTCCTTAGAATCCTCTAATTTCTGCAATAACTGTCGACAGAATCCAGCATAAAATCCTAGCTGCACATGAAATAAATGGAATGATTTCAGTAGGGCTATTGCTATGAAATATACATATGTAAACAATGCGCCGAGGAACAAACAGGATCTGCAGATAACACAGGTTCAACTTGTGTAGAAAGGAGTAGTAGCGTTAGTAAAATATTCTGTGTGTGTCCAGTAGTGATTACCAATATATACCAGGGGCTCACTGAGATGTCTGCACATGAAAAGTCTAACGATTCAGTTATCAACTAGTTTTGGCTGCTTTTTTCTGATATGCATGAGCAATAATGCAGTGATTATAAGTATGAAATGTTTCCAATGACTGACAACAACTGTTCAGCATTACGTAAACAAATTTATAGTACCATGGGGCAGAACAATATATACACTTGTGGAATGCGATGTTCTTAAGTATCAGCTTAAGACTGAAGGACCAAGATAAATGCAGATATGATGGAGGGATTACATGAAAAATAGAAAATTTATGTAAGACATTAATTATTCCACACCCATGAACAATTATTTCCCTTGTTTAACACGTTTCTACAAATACTAATGTGGACTTTGACCTTGGTATAAGTTTTGATCAAATTCTGTTAGGAAATGAAGTAGCTAGAACAATGGCAATGAATCAGGACAAATTGGGACAAGACACATGTCACAATGGGATGCAACCAGACAGGACAGAATAATGGCTATGAGTAATTAAGATTACTCACAAGAAGCTATATCCTGAAGTCCAAACTTCCAAGTTGTTTTATTATACCAATGCAAATCCTAATAACTGTTTTGAAGAGCAATAAAGCTGTATTCCAAGCTGCAATTACAACAAACTTAACTATCGAGCCAAATAACTCTTTCACACAAAAAACGTTCAATGTAGAATACTAGCTCTGTCCACCTGATTGGCTGGGTCCTTGTGGCATGACAACAAGAAGTGGGGGTAGGCATGTGACCTCGGGTAGTTTGTTATGACAGGGTAAAAGTCCTTAAACTATAACCTGTTAAAATGAGCTGTTTCCTTGGGAAAATGAATCTGTCTGTTTACTTAGAATAATAGCATTTACATAGGCACAAATGTGTAAAGGTGTAATAAAATGATTTAAATACTTTTTTATATAATTCCATCAGTAGTTGTGTTATCATGTACCAACTAATTATATCAGATACTTACACATTTTTGCTTTATGCACAGTTTAAACTCGACTTACCTCTGATCCAACACCTGCACCCTTCTCCCAGCCTAACCTATACCCATCTTCCAACCCGGTCTTCTGACCAACTTGCTGTCCAGTAGTGAATCCTTGGCTTTGAGACCTAAACATATGCATAAATTAAGATAAGGAAATGGAAAGGTTTTTATTATGAAGTTTGTACGATCTGAAGTATCATATATGTTTTCTGACTTTGTTTCATACACAAGATACTGTATGCATGAGTGATCTTCATTTCAGCCAATTAATAAAGGGATATTTAAATATTCCTGCGGTTCGCAGGAATAATTTGTACCTTGCGGCACTAGGGCTAGTTTTCTGCACGAGCGAGCTACATGTAGCGGCAAATAGTACAGTTGTGGAGTATATATAGTTTACGAGGCCAAGAGGACCTGTATTACTCAAATAGATATGTATAGGCAATCATTGCAAAATATTCTAAATTAACCCTTAACCACTGTAGACCATAACAGACTCACCCAGATAAATGTATGGAAGAGTCTACTTAAGGTACCTAGGAGTGAAAAGGGTTAATATTGCACTATAAACAATCATCTACGTAAGGTAGTTTAGGGCTCTACATTCCAGCACCAAAGGAGAACAAAATTTATGTATCTAACATTTGAATCACTTATCCCAGGATAACTCACATAAAATGTTTAAATTATGTTAACTGTTCAGGAGGAGCCAGCTTTTTAAAGACTTAAACGCTAAACATGTGTATAGCTCCCTTCTGGGCACATCCCTCGTGAAAGCTACACTCTTCCTTTGCAATGCAATTGGTTCACAGGTCGAAAGGATCAAGGATGTTTAATAGGAAATTTGACTAGTATTTACGTGTACATGGTTTTAGGATGTAGATCTCAATCATTTCCATGTTAAAATCCTACAATTAAGTCACGAAGGTACACTGCAGGCAATCATATGAGCACAGGTCTCTTCAAGCAAAGAAAGTGACTTTTTTCCTAACTATAGCTCTTTTGAAATTCCCACTCAGGGTTCACAATGTCATTCTTTCCCCATGCTAAGAATTACCGATGCTCTTATTAAATATTGCTATCATATTGTTTCAACAATATAAGAGTTCAAATAAGACGGATTTGTTCACAATACAATAGATACTTATATTGTTGGTATATAGGTCTATACACAAGACCCTACCAACCAATCCGTAATCGTTATTATTATTTTTTCATATTATTCCCAACAAGTGATTGGCCAGGAGTGCATCACGTGTCCACCGATAAAAACTGATATTTACTTGGAGCACATAATTTTTGTTGAATGGCTGGGTGTTTTCTAAAAATAAAATTATGACGACTGTCTCCAAACAAACGCACCGTCCCGCTTCCGTAGTTTTGTTTTTGTTTTTTCAGATTGCTTACATCACTGTTTTGAAAATAATAAAACATTTGTAGCCTTTAACTGCGGTCGATACCTGGATTTATCGCCCTGAGAAAAAAAGATATATTGACCTCAGACGCATTTACATGTATGTAAAAAAAAAAATGTACAAGTATATCATTATGTTTCATGTTATTAAAGCAAGAGTCTTGTCACCCTGTATGCTGAGGTCAAATTAGGAAGTATTTGCAATATGATGAGAATATGGGGATGATCATGCTTAAAAGTCAGGTGAACTTCCTACAGCCTACAGGCCTTTTGAGCCTTTTGTTATCATTTGTAACTTAGGGTTTACCCAACTACAATCCCCTATTGGTTCATTTAGGATGTCGATAAAGGAATGTTAAGTTATCTTATCATTACGGAAATAAATGTAGATTCAAACCTTTCTTCTGACATGAAAATGTCATGAAAAATATCGTCATTTTCTTCCTGTTCTTCCATGTTTTTGCAGTCCCAGTTGATATCGGTCCTTCTAATTACAGCCCGGTACAGCCCGGTATAGCCCGGTACAGCCCGGTAGAGCCCGGCACAGCCCGGGACAGCCCGGTAGTGATATATTGACCGCCCGGGCGTTTGTCTCCACTTATACACCATTATGATTGTATTATTTGCATTGTTTGTAACAGTATGAATGTAGTGATCAAAAAATGGTGAAAAAATCATTAAATTTGACCGAGTTATGGTTATTTGAACTTTGTAACATCGCAACAACCCGCTGGAGTAGCGCCAGACGTTTGTTATTTGCAATACAAACACCGCCCGGGCTTTCACCTGTGTAGTAAACTGTACTGAAGTAACTTATTCCCATATCTTTAGAAACGAAAAATACAAAACTGAAAGAAATATCAAAATATGTTCATAATTAGCCAAGTTATTGTAATTTGAAATTAACCAACACTGCAGGACTTGTTATTTACAATATTAAGACTGCCCGGGCGTTACCCTGTAAAGTTGATTTAATCGAAGTACTTTACTCGGGTTATTTAATGAATGAGAAATAAAAAATAAAAGACAGTGTGAAAATATCTTCATCATAAAAAGATTTATGCTGATCTAACTTTAGATACTTCGCTACATTACGCTGAAGCTCATATCATGCGTGTTATTTGCAGCATCGGGACCGCCCGGGCTTTCATCTTTATCGTTAAGTCAATAAAAACCCTGTATTTGTTAAGATGTGTGTGTTACTAACACAATGGGACGAGGGGTACCGACCCAGGTAAAAGCCCGGGCGGTCGGGGCGGCATCAACAAAGTAACGGCTACCGTGCCGGGCTCCGAGCCGAATAAACAATTATCATACTACCCATTTCAAATCGATATAATTCAGTCAATTTTCAATATAATTTCAAAATTTCTTCAACTGAATACTCTTTACACTGTCTACTTTACGTTAGGCTAGGGGGACGAGGGGTACCGACCCAGGTAAAAGCCCGGGCGGTCGGGGCGGCATCAACAAAGTAACGGCTACCGTGCCGGGCTCCGAGCC